CTCTCTTTGCAATATTTACCTTAAACAGAAGTTGACGGTTGACGTGTTGCTAATACTAAATTTTCATTAATAAAGATTCTCCCGGTGCTGTTAAATCCGAAATTCCTCGCTGTAATGTCTTTCAAATTCTTTCTATTTTCGTAAATGGAATTTCTAGAACTTCGTGTGGTAAACTTAACGATAATTGGTCGTGGTTTGGTGTGTTCATTTTCACTGTTGTTTTCTCTTGTAGAAAGACGATGGGCAATGTCGATATCACTTGCCTGTATCCCTGGATTGACTTTCTTAAATACTGACAATACGATGGCTGTTGTATCTTCATTTTCACTCACAGGCACGCCACTAATTTTCAGGTTAATTCTCCGTTGATACTGATTAAGATCTGTAACTTCTCTTTCCAGCGCTATCACTCGTTGACTCAAGTCTTTGTTTACTTGTTTGAGTTCTTTGTTACATTGAAACACCTGGTCCAGACGAGCGGACAGAGCTTCATATTTCTCATTAAAAAAATCAAATGAGCTGACCAAGTCCGCTTGCTTTTTTTTCACCTCCATTAAGTCATTTCCGATCTTCAGTAGTTGTGCACTGATGGGTTGCAGCATGGCATGTAGTTGGTCAGCCGGTGGCATACCAATGAACATGGACGTCGCCATCTTGTCACTTTCACTTTCACTTTCGGTTGATGTTGACCTTTTTACATTACAACTTGCGCATAGCATCAGGTCGCCTTGGCACAACTTTACACCCTTTCTGGCATTACAATCGTGGCATTTCATGATGAGGTAGATAGATCTATACGCTTGAACGAGTAAAATCTTAAAATATAGCTCGGAGCATCTGCAATTCCATGTGTTCTACCGGAAAGCGCCCTCTAAATCAAGTGATCTTTTAAGTTGGCGATTACCTAAAGTAATTATCGAAATAGATGATTTATTTCTAAATGTTATAAATATTTATAGTCCCAATAATGTCGCCGAACGCCGTCAATTCTACCGCCACATACAACATTTTTTCGAACGTGACTTCACTAATACTGTCATTGGTGATTTTAACTGTGTGATCGATACGAATCTTGAACGCTCATACACTCAAGTTCATAAAGATCATTCAAGACAACAGTTGAAAGACCTAATCGCCAGTAACAACCTAATCGATATTCGGCGTACCCATCACCCGCGGTCAAGAGAGAATACTTGGCGGCGTTCGGTCGATAATAAATTACTTCAAAGTCGTATAGACAACTGTTTTATATCCGCAAATAGTTTACACCTATGCACTCATAGTTCTATCTCAAAATTTCCGTATAGCGATCATGACTGCATAATATACAAATTTGATATGTCCAGTGTTAAACGTGATCGTGCTGTTTGGCATTTTAACAACTCTCTCTTAGAAAATTAATTTCTGAACATCTTACAATAAGTCGTACATATCCTGTGTATTCTGAAAATAAACTTGCCTGGTGGGAACTTTTGAAAAAACGAAATAAAACGTACAACGACCCGTTTTGGCAGCCAGAAAGCTAATGCCACGCGAAAATTATAAAGAAATCTGGAAAAAATAAATAAATACGAGAATGTCAAGGCTGCCAACTACCCAGACTACAACACATCATATCTGCTCAATCTTAATGATGAATTGAACAAAATCATTAGATCAAAAACCGAAGTGCTGCAATACGCAGTAAATCACAATTCATTGAAGAAGGGAGAAAATACTAATACTTTCTACATTAGAGAAAATTAAACAGGAAACAAACATAAAAA